AAAAAAAAAAGTTATTAATAATGAAAGGTGGGGTATCTCATTGCCAGCTACCAGTCTACGGCAGCAAAGGGAAAAATGAAAAAAAAAATGGTTAAAACCCCTTTTTGGTCCCCGAACTATTGTATGGACCCCCGATTTAGTCCTTGAACTAAAAAAATCCCTGATTTGGTCCATACTGTTTACCCATTTTACCCCAACTTGGTCCTTCCGTTAAAAATATAGTGAGGTGTCCAGTTAATTAACTGAGTATGATGACGTGTCAAAATATTGTGACACGTCAACTGTACACATGGCACATGCCATAAACCACGTCAGATTCTGAGCCAACAAAAAAAAAATAAATTGTGGGGCCCACATCTTGGCCCCCAAACTCACTATTTTCTCCCCCTTCTTCCCCTTTCAACCCTAGAAGACTTGTACCAACAGTCTCCGTTGGGTTCCTTCGAGAACCCAGCCGCTGGGTTTCGTTGGAACCCAAGAGCTGGGTTCTTTCGAGAACCCTTGGGTTCCTTCTTGAACCCAGGCGCTGGGTTCTCGAAAGAACCCAGGCGCTGGGTTCGAAGAAACCCAGGCATTGGGTTCGAGATAGAACCCAGCACCTGGGTTTCTGCCTGGGTTCTCGAAAGAACCCAGCGGCTGGGTTTCTTCTCGAACCCAGGCGGCTAGGTTCCTTTGTGAACCCAAGCGCTTGGGTTCAAGTAGGAACCCAGGCCTTGGGTTCGAGAAAGAACCCAGGTGCTGGGTTTCTTCTCGAACCCAGGGGTTCTCAAGGGAACCCAGTGCCTGGGTTCCTTCGAATCCAGGGGTAAAAAAGTTTCTGTTCTTTTTTTTTTTTTGTGGGTTTGGTTGTTTGATTAAGATGAATTCGATATTGAATTTGATTGTTTGATTGAATTGATTGTCTGAATGAAGGAAGATTCGAGAAAGAAAATGATGCAAAATTGTAAATTGGTGGGCCCCACTGTTGTTTTTGTGTTGGGTATGACCATGTCATTATTTAGCCAGTTGTACAACTGTCGTGGTTTAAATTTTTGATATGTCTGTGAGTTAACCGGAGGATTTTTAACGAAAAGACCAATTTGGGGTAAAATGGGTAAACAGTAGGGCTCAAATCAGGGATTTTTTTAGTTCAGGGATCAAATTGGGGGTCCGTACAATAGTTCAGGGACCGAAAAGGGATTTTAACCAAAAAAAATCATCAATTACGGCTTGGAATAATTCGATCGTTCTATATAGGTGTTGGTTGCAACAAAAATGACAAGGAAGCCACAAATTTTGAAATTTCCAGCATCAATTGACCAATTCCATTCTGCCCCAACGAATGTTAGATTTGCT